GGAGAGCACGTATACTAAGGAAACAAAACAAGATTCAAGCAATATGGTCGACAAATTGTAAAATATTTATCAAACTAAATGGATCAACAGCAGAGATGGCGAAAGTGCTCATTATCCGGGAAATCACCGAGCTGGATCAGTTTGAGGAATTAAACATCAAAATCAACATAAGGTAGGCCTAACTGAATAGCTACACAATGAAATGAACACACTAAGAACACCCATGATAAGCTTGGACAAAAACCACTCACCTGCTGAATATGAAAAACTGGACTTGAAATGTTTCAAATACACAGAACATAAATCACAAGACATTGAAAAGGATATTGATCCTGAAAATAATTTATACAATAACATCCATAACCAATGTGAATACTACACAGAAGATCAACTCAAAAGAAATGGAATAATGGATGGATCAATATCAATATTACATTTTAATAGCAGAAGCCTCATTTCAAATGTATCTAAGATCAAACACTGTTTAAGGCAAGAAACGACTCTTTAATGTTTAAATTAAGCCTTATTAGTTTGTCTGTTTTGCACATCCTCCTATTAATATCTAATAATAAAATAATAAAATTCAATAACGTGCTTTGACCACCAGGTGTCCCTTTCTATCAGCTCTGCACGGTTATGGTTTAAATACAGCCTATCTACCAATTGGATCAAATATAAAAGTCAGCCGAATTAGTGTTGATACTGCAAGGAGACGCATTGTGTGAAAAGAAATGTAAGATGTTGTATAATTGCTTATATATTTATGATCCACGTCACATCTTCAGTTTTGGCGGCATTCTCCTGTTTGTCCAGAAGTCTTCTCAGCAGGGCTCTATAAATAGAGAACTACGGCAGATATGTCATATTTAATGCAGCCGAACCGTGTATTACAATGCCGTTATGTGATGACTTTCAAAGAGTAAAGCAAGCACACTCGGAATAAAGTATTATTGTATTTTTTAAAAACGTTTTCAGATTTCACATCACATAAACACCAAATCCCAGCATGCATTGCGGATAACCATCCAATCATCGAGCTGAGGATCTTGCCTACGTCTGTTTCCGGTTTCGTTTAATGACCGATGTATTTTGTTATACACACATTCCTTCACATTTACATTTTAATGTGCATTAAAGTATTTCGTGAGGCCTTCTAACATGTTTTTAAATATAACTACGGTTGTAGTTGAATAGTTTGTAAATTAACATGAACCGAAGCTGTTGCTTGGCAACTCAATCGCACAATGTCACGTCCGTTAATTCCACATCCACACGCATGGATTAACATCGATTTAATACATTAATGTAGCCTTTGTTTATGCTAAAAGAGGTGTCGACCAGCTGGGGCAACAAGAAAATCGCTGTAATCGAGTGTGACTATTAAAAAATAAATCATTACGTCGGGGTAGCATTTGCTTGGTATTTCCGGTTATTTCTCCACTGGTTAACATCAAGCCCCCAGGAAGTGCGCCGGACTCAGATGAAAATATTCGTGCTGGCCAAACGGCGGTACTACACTTCCGTTTGGTTGCCAGGCCCGGAAACACTTTTTCCCATTGACTTACATGGGGAAAGAGTGGTCTGTAACTCGTTGGATAATTTTTTTTAAACTAAATAAACTACCCAGTATGAACACTTGTATAGCCCTTATTAAAAACATGTATTCCTCAAGTTGTAAAAATGTGCTAATAACGTTATTCTGAGAGTTATTTCCCTCTGCATTATGAACGCGCATCTAACCCACGGGACCGCGCCGCCCGGCACGTTCATGTCACGTGTCCGGGAGGGTGGGGGCTGAAGCTATTGGAGCTACAACGAGCCGTTAAAGGCAGAGAGTGAAATTCAGTGAATACACGTAGTTTACAGAGATGCTGTATGAGAAACCAATGTGAGTTGCGTTTATCTTTACCCATGGATGCACAATAAGAACGGATCCATATCGTCTTACTGCCACCCCACGGAGCTGTAATAATGGATATATTGCACATGTTTGCTGTAATTCATTATCATACTACATGGGCTGTATGATTAAATCTTGTACCGTAAATGTTATATTAAATAAAGTTAATATTACCGACATTATTAACGTCCCTGTTGTTTCGTATTGCACTAAGAAGCTTATTGCACTGTATATAAATAGGCTATATATAAATATATATATATATATATATACAGTGCAATAATTATTTCATGCTAAATGAAGCTCTGTTGGATATCACTAGATCCTGTTACAGCGTAATATAAGTACATAATGATTGATGTGTATATTAGCATCATTACTAGCTAGCCGCTAGCTGCTAACTGCCGCCTCGTTCATATCAAATCCATGATAACAATAAACCATTACCATGCTGTCATGAACGCGCGGTGCTGTTACGTGTACGCAATTTGACGTGCTTGATGTGAACGAGCATTTTGGTTAAAGTTGCGCATGCTCTATGAGCGCACATACGGGTACTTCTCAGGCATGCTGGGTAATCTGTGACGTTACACTCTCAAAAGGTGGGCCATTTTATCATCATGCGCTAATAAGCAGCTCTCATAGGAATGAATGAGGCCCCGCCTCCCACGCTGTATCCAGTTCTTATTATACATCCATGGTTAACATGGGTTAACAATACCGTGTTGCTGTCACGTTTGAAGGGGACGAAACCGTGACATCTTCACGTCTCCCAGCATGGTAAATCGTCACATGTTCACGTCTTGCCGTGATACCGGGTTGGTTGTTTTACAACAGAGTCCTGGTTAAAAGTTTTAAAAGCCGATTTTTAGGTTCCTCCCGTTTTTCAAATGGTATTAATTTTTCGTGACTGTTGACAGATGGTGAAAAATAAGTATCTGACTTTAAAATAATAAGAAAAGTAAGGTAAAGTTTCACACAGAAGGCAACAAAACAGAGAATTGTGTCTCAAAAGGTGCAGTAAAGGGTAGTATACTTATTTGTAACCATTTGTTTCCTGCTTGTCTTTAAAATGTTAAAATATTGTAATATGTCATTTGGTAAGATGTTACAATATATTGGTTGACACAATTATGTTATTCCACTGATCAGAAAGGTGTTCTGTACTGCATCTCCCTTGTCATAATAATATACTAACATAAATGATTGGCTCTTGGTTTATTTGCCCTCTAATAACCGAATCAAATGTAAACATGAATGAATTAAATTCAAGGAACATCTTTCACACTCTTTTGTGATTGCTTTTTGATGCAATACCTTACCTTGTTCCCAGCTAAAAAGTAGGACCTCTGAATCAAGCAGTGATTCAATCACCTGCCTAATCTCCTGAAGCAGATCATAAAGTCTTCTGACTCACCATGCCACCTTGGTGCAAGTTCTGGTGAGTGGGTTCAGATTTGATGACACAGAGCTCAAATACTGCCAGTGGTTGTGATGTCTCCTGTAGGTTTTATAGTTTAGCCTGTAGACAAGAAAGCAGACAAATCAGTTTACACATTTAAACCAGACATGTAAGACAAACATGCTGATTAGATGCGTCACAAAAGAATCAAGCAGCCTCTGTCTGTGTGTTCCTGTTGTTAGAGCTTTGACACCAGCACGTGTATGATTTAATGCAGGCTTAAAGCACAGGCTGTGCTGAAAGGCCTGTTATTGGACACTCACCCCGGCTGGTTATGTTATGCTGCTACTGGCCGACTTCCAGCAGAGCACATCGAGATCATCTTGCTTCATTTAGTGGAGGCTCGGGACAGCTGAGAGGACCATGTCACTTGCCCATAAAAAAGATGTAACTGCTGGGGCCTAATGATTATGACATGCAGTATGTAATACAATAGAATACATTAAGGATATGTTCCTCTTGTGCTTGTTTCTATGTACCTAGATACTAGGGTATACTGTTATAGACCCCGGACCCTTTATCAGTCCTTAAAGAATGTTTTAATGATGTATTTATTTTGTTAATTAATATTTTTGGGAATATTTGAATATTCATTTTTATGCATGTATTTATTTAATCACCCATAGTTTAAGTTGTATACCTATTAACAATATCATGGGTGAGTAAGATATACAGTATATCAGTCCAAATGTGTGTTCAAAGTAAAAAACTTAAATATATTCAAAAGAAACATGACCTTGGTGATCTTTTGCACACACACATACACACAAACGATACTGCACAGTCACAAGTGTGCAGGACTGAAGTTTGAGACTTTTAGTAGTTTGAATGATAACCAGTAGGTGGTAGTAGTTTACTGTAAATAGAATAGTTGTTCCAAACCTCTTTCCCCTTTCTACCATTGAGTTAAATGATGGCCCCTGATTGAGAGATACATTTTATGGATATTCCATATTACATTTAATGCGTAGCAGAAAAACAATTGATAAACTGTACAATTAACCAAATATATCTGCAGGAAGATTGTGTAAAACAAGGGATTTAGATACATTTGGAACAGAAAGAGCTGCAATTTTTTTTTTTTAGGAATTCCTAAACTATACATTTGTCTGAATGACATCTACTGTATAAATATATGTTTAACATTTTAACTGATAAGGCATGCCGAATATGGTTATTTTATGACACATTTCGTTGCTTTCCTCCCTAATGCTTGGCGATTTTCCTAGGTTATTCTAACCGCATACCTTTCTAAAGCAGGACAGGGTGTTTGGCAGGGAAGGAGATATATTCAGTTCTTCACTCTGCCCTCAACCTGTTAGACTTACAAAGAAAGTGTATATCATAAATAATAATCCAAACTTAGAAACTAGAACAAAATAACCGACATTTTAATAAAAAGCTCTTTTTTTTTGGTAAATGGATGAACATTACATTACCAGAGCAGCACATTCTCACATAAAAGTACAACAATATAACACTAGTCCAATCTAATTTATTTGCATACTTACTGATATTCTGTTTTGCAATTTAATGTAATGGTAATTGAGATTTCAAAAGTAGGTTCTTTTTTAGCAAAAATGTACATTTATATCATTGAATGAATCTCAACATTGAAACACAACATCAACTACAAAATAAAAATAAATTGTTTTTAATATTGCCATAAACACTTACAACCATTCACATCTTTTGCATCACTCTGGACCAATGATATCTTTTCAGATCTTCAAAAGTCTCTATTATTGCTTAACAAAGATGGATTCACACATTTAGAGTGATCTACATGCTCTTCTATGGTCAAATGCCATCAAATACCTTCACAACGAAACTAAAAGTTTAAAGTCACATAAATCAAGCTTTAACAATATCATACAAAACGTGTGGGGAGTTGCGTCAAGCGTTGTTTCAACTACAGTACTCAAGCACACAATTTAGATACTTGGACTGTTCATTTAATTATCCTTTTACTTCCACTCAACTACATTTCAGAGGGAAATATTGTACTTATTAGTCCTATAAAATTATTTGACACCTACTAGTTACTAGTTATTTTACAAATAAAGATGTTTGCATACAAAACATAATAAGATCTTATACAATATATATATGACATCTAAAATATATCTAAAACAATTTACAACAGATTAATTGGAAACAACTTTGTTGGTTGTCTGTCATTTAACACACAAAAAAGCTTGCTTTGCTTTATGCCTTTGTCCAATAGTTGTGAGGTTTGGACTTGTAAAACCAAACGATCAATCAATGAACATAGAAAATAATCATGAGCTTAACCCTTGTGTTGTGTTCGAAAGCTGTTACCGTTCATGGTGTTCGCGGGTCAATTTTGACCCATGATTTACCTCAGAAAAACACTCAAAAATAATGACTCTCATCCAATATTGTTTTAACTACATCATAACTAACTTATAATGCATTCATAACCGTACAATCCTGTTGTAATTTTATTTTATGGCCCCAAAACACACCACATATTGTACATGTGCATGTGTGTGTTCAGGTTCAAGTGTTTGTGTACATATTCTTTGTGAAAGGTTGAGTTCCCATGGATGGGAGGGATGGGCAACCAGGTGCATGTTGTGAAATAATTATTGTTACAGTGGATGAAGGGGGTGGGGTTGGGGTGTCTAAAGTCAAAGATTAATCTTGATTGGGCCAAATTTTCCCCAGAGTCACCCACAACAATTCTGCTGTGTCTTCCCAGACCTGAACACCAAATTATACACTTTTTTTTTTTAAGAGACCTTCAGACTTGGCTAAAATTGTCAAAATCTGTTTTGTAGTGTTTATATAGCTGTTGTGGAGGATATCATCTGCAGGTCTCCCTTGAAAAAGAGATCGATGATCTCAATGGGACCACCTTAAATAAAGGTTTGAAATCATGAAGCCTCGTTCCGATAAAAAAACTAGAGCGTAGTTATTATATAATTGTACCTTGATACGGGTCACCGGAGACCCAAACACAACATAAGGGTTCATCCATAATGAAAATAATCAACAGTTGCAGCCTTAAATAAAATTGCTCAAAATCTAAAAATTACTAAAGTGATGGTTACACATTAATGAATGAGATGATAACAATACAATGATATCAAATTGTAATACCGGAAGTACATTTTAGTTACTATACCTACGCACTTTTACTTAAGTAACATGCTCAATGCAGGGCTGAGTATTTGTACAGTGCAATCCATCACCTCCTTGGTTGATCTGATTTGGTTTTCTCTCCCAGAAGGTGACCAGAAAAGGAGGACATTTGAGAAAATCAACCGGGGAAACAACCGGGGAATCAACCGGGGAAACAACCTGTATGCAGAAAGAGTTCCCCGTGTTCTCGGTACTGAATTGTGGCGCCACGTCGTATTGGAGGCCACAGTCGTCTGCGATTGTGGTGGGGCTGTTGTGTCTGAGCAGTGTGGTGGCAGAGGGGACAGTGGCTCTCACTTCCAGCATCTCATGTCCAGCTACAGATACATCCACAGGCAACACCATGTAGGCCTGCACAAAGCTTTCTCCAATGTTGCACTTGAGCTGCGTAGACCAACAGTATTCCCCGGGGTCTCCTAGGAAGAGAGACTCATTTATGAAGGGCTATACACATTGGATGTGCCACATAAAACAGTCAGACAGCGATGGTCTGACATAAGAAGACCACCTGCACTACTGATATCTGTCTGCACATTTAGTCAAGGACAGGTTGAAATTGTAACTGAGAGATGCCTTACCTTCTGTGCAATATGAGAGCTGTATGTTATGGTTGTCCTCAAGTTGAAGTTTCCTATGGTAGGTCATCTGAGTGCACTCGGTCAAACAGTTTGATAAGGGTCTCTTGGGCAGCAGTTTCACCAACCCTTCCCTCTCTGAACAATGAGCTGCCCCTTCAGCCAGCAGAAAGGGGGACAGTATGCCAAAAAACACCCACAAAGTGAAATATGTTGACATTCTGTCCAGTATCAATAAAACATCCAATTGCTGGCAATGTTGAGCGATTGGTCCAGATCTTCTTGTCCTATTGTGGGATAGTTGTTGTCCTGGATCAATATATTGCTTGCACAACCTGACAACCATAGGATAAGATTCAACTTCAGCCAGGAAAAAACTTTGCATGCACAGCAGCTATAAACGTTCAAGACTTTCAGAACTGCGCAACATGCTGCTCTTACACTGAAATGAGGAGGGTTTCCTGGAGCGCAGTGCCTATCCTCCAGGTTATTTTCCTCCCTCTAGACTTGAAATGTGAAACACCTAAAGGCTGGACTAAGGAACTGCTTTACCAAAATAGTAATCAAGAGTTATAGTCCATAATAAATGTTTGCAGGAAAAACAGCTGAGAGCAAAACATTTTTGATTTGAATCATCTTTATTCAAAAGTTTGTAAGCAAAAAATCAGGAAATTGGTACAAATGATTAGCATGCTATAGCAGTTTCATTAGCAAAATACAATATTTTGTACGAGATCTAAATACAAGTTATGGTGCTATGTCAATATAATAAGTAATAGTTGAAAAATAAAATAAAGTACATGGTGAGGTAATTTTGTAAAGTCAGCAGTAGACAAAAGCTTAACAAAATGATAAACTGAGAACTATAGCAAGTTACAGGCATATGAGGGAAAACAAGACCTCTGCTGTAGAACATGTATATAAGAGGACATTTATTTAAATCAAACAACATTCTTTGGGTTCATTTATGGAAAAAAAAGGGAAAAACTGCTTTGGGTCAAAACTATGATCTAATGGCATATCTCAAAGAAGGTTATGTCAAGAAAAAATTGTTTGATTTTTTTTTTAATGTCATTTTTATACCTAATTATGATTCATTCCAAAAGTGAATGTTTTTTGGTAGTTGCAATGGGGCATTGTTGCTTTCTGCAAGTTGAAAGGGCTAAAAGAAAGCACCATACAGAAGATGTCCCTACTCAGGAAAAATTGATATGAAATGTGATTGTGAATTGTTGTCATATATATGTATATTATTATTATTTTTATATGCCTTTTGAATTAAATTGCCCAAGAAAGGAGTCGTTCACAGATGGGGGGAAACAACTGGTATGAGTAAGGATTTGGCTCTGTACAGTCTCACATTTTTGTTAGGAACACTCTGTAATAGTTAGCAGCTTTAAATAGTGCTCTTCACCCATAAGATGTATTTAAAGATTAGCTGGCAGTGTTTCGCCTCCAGCTCTCTGCAGCTCTTGGCGCAAAAGAAATAGTTGGACTTATCTACAGAAATGCATTTTTGATGGGTCTGCAGTATCATTATTATCATCATCATAATAATCATTGGCAGTTAACCTCTAAAATAAAAAAATGATCAGATTTGTGCTGGCACATTCTTGTTTGAAAGGAGAAACAGGAATGCAAAACTGAGAGAGACTTTGCTTTGGTTCCCACACTCGGTGCTGAATACACACTGAAAGGATCTAAGATAAGTCTATAGAGAGAAGATAGGCCTGCATATAATGTATCACTAAGTTTTCTGTATTTTGTGTGTGTGTGTGCACCAGGTGGTTCACATACACAAGACTATAAAACAAACTTTACTTTGTGCCTGGCTGCTGGAGGTTACTAGGCCCACACCCGCAGCTGCTGGCCAGCTGCACGGAGGAGATGATGAGGGTGCTGAACTCATCCACATAGAGAACAGGCACCATTTGGAGGGAGGTGGGCTGACAACATGGCACCTGGAGAGAAAAAAAGAGAGGAGGAGTTAAAGAGGTTATGTTGGATAACACAGTTTGAACAAAAATGGACGTTAAGAACGTGTGAATATTTATATTCTTGATAGAAATGCAAAAAAGTGGTGCATGCTATGGTGGACGTGTTACACATAAAGTACAGAAATAAAAAAGTGTAGAAAAATTAAATATAAAATAACAAATTACAAATTAGTTTCCAAACAGTTTCATTTAAAAGATGCAGTCTAGATCTTAGTTGTATTTTTTCTTTTGCAAAGTTATTTATAAGATCGCATAAAGATGGTACACAACGTTATGTTTCCTTAGCACGTACACTGCATTCATTTCTGATTGACCAAAGTTTTGGGAGTGTCTCAGCTTGAATTTGGTTCATTTGTATATTTGTGTTGGCAGAGTGAGAGAACAGGCTTATCTATTGGCAGCTGTTTTCCCTCCTGAGCACACACAGGCAAACTATTTGGTGTTTGTAGCTCCAATGTAACTTAGGCAAAGAGGTGAACAAAGACGTGTAGGACTGTAGAAGAGGAAGCAAGTACAATAAACAAAGCTATACATTTAACAGTAAAACATAAGGTAATTGGGGTTGGAGGACATTTATTTCACTGTTCTAATATAGAGAATTATACCTGAGTGGTTTGGGATGGTGGACATTGCACAGGGTGCCCTGCGGGGTTGCAGAGTGCACACTTGACGATGGTCAGGCTGGCAGGATGGATAATCCAGTTTTCCCAGCCCAGATCTGAAACACATAATAATGGACATTTTAGTACATGCATTTATATATTTTTGCATGTCAATTTGCATGCATGCATGAACACATGCACACATTGGTGCATACCTTTCATGAAGATCTCAGAGGCCATGGAACAGCACTTCAGGTCTGTACTGTTTCCACCATCAGGGGACACGGAGTTGCCAGAGGCCACTGGAACTGTAAGGACAAAAAAACGTTCAATTCAGTTTGAATGTGAAAACCTCTTAAGATTAAATTAAAGCTGTACAAAATGTGGGCTCGACAAAGGTTTCTTCAAAGTGTTTGGGTGTTACATACCACCATTGTCCTTCACTCTGTGAGCAATAGAGCCGAAGGTGGTCCTCCATTTCTCTCCGATACCGTCCAGCCCACCAGCAGGCAGCTGTGGCTCAGCCTGCAAGTTGAGGCCCTCGAGGAGACTCTGTCTGATTGACTGCAATGACCCCCCCGAGCACCTAAACATCATATAAAAGGTTACATTTGCATTAAAAAGGATTACACAGAAAAATTGAAGAAATGCTCTACATGACAACAAATAAGTATTGTGTTAACAATCCAATCAAGACTAAACAAGTGTAGTTGTGAGCAGCTGCACATGCCAGACATGTACTCTCTCAATAACCTCAATAGCTCTGGGACTATTTTCTTAGGCATACACAAATTCCTCTGTGGAAGAGTAATTTATGACACTACTGAAGCTTAATTGCAACAGCATGTTACAGCTCTGCAAATTCCTAGAAATAGATCAAAATGATATATTTTTCCCTGAGAACTACTCAGCACGGACACATCATGGATATGTTATCTGTTAAGCAAGTCTGCAGCACTGAGGCTATTCAAAATATGTATTAACCTCTATGACCTGACAAGGTAAGGGGAGATATAGCAGGTCCACAGTATACGTCACAAGGAATTTGATACACAGATTTGATGCAAAATGAAACACATTCTAACATTTGAGACTGAAAAAATGACTTCAAAATAACACTTTAACACCCCAAGACCTTTTGGAACACTAGTAAGAGGACAACTGTGACTTGGTATCAAAAACGTTCTGCATGAATTCTGATTAGCGATTGGATGGGGAGCATTTTTTTTTTTTAAAGAGAAATGCTCAGAAGCCTACTTAATGGCTACATATCAATGAAAGCCATATATTCTATGAATGCCCAAGTGTTGTAGTTTGTAGTTGTAATGTTTCAAGAGGCTGTAGTTTCATAAAAAGCTGATTTTGTAAAGCAAGGTCAAGCTTAAAAAACTACAGTGAAATGAGGACTAACATCATAAAGAGTCTTAGATGTATTAAGTCATACCCAATATATGCAATTCACCTTCATTGGGACCCCAGCATGCAGACATATTCAATTACACAATTTTTAGACTAATATAACACATTCATAATGCATATTTGAGGGTTTCTATAGAACCAACTTTCATTCAGATATCAGTGTATCAAATGAACCCCTCTGAATAGGGGCCTGCAATCTATAATAAAATGGATACACTACACAGCAAACAAAAGCGTAATATTATTTAAGTACCAAAACACTGTAAAAATTTGCTACCTGAAATAAAACATTTACCAATAGCGCTCTTATAAATCAAACATATTGCACTTTAGAGACAGGGAACAGATAGGTTGGTACTGACCTGTGCTGCGAGACAGGAGAGTTCGCAGGGGCAGCAGAAACTTCCTCGGATGGCAGCAAGACAAATGCAAACACCATTGAAGAGCACAGGAGCATCGTCATGACAGTAAACGTAAAGGACATGGTGTATGGGCCGGATGGTCAATCTTTTGGATCAACTGCTCTCAAATTTGGACTTGCGGCCGACTACGGTTGACTCTGGTTGGAAGAGAAGATAGGAGTGACCAGACAGTGATGCTGCACGAGGTATTGTTTGTCAGGGCCTGGGAACATGGGTTTTTATCTTCCTGTACCAAAGCTTGGCCTTGAGATATTTCACATTGTTGTCTTGTCCCTGTGTGAAAGAGATCAGTTCAGTTATTTCTTCCAGACGTGAAATACTGGATGTGATTTCTTAGGGAGGATTTGAAATCAAGAATATGGTTTTGCCTACACAAAGTAAAAGATGCAAAAACATCTTCAAATAGTCAGTGAATAAACGTTCACATATTCCCCAGTGAACATATTCTTTTTTTAAACTTCTTTCAACAAAAAAAGGTTCATTGGGCCTTCTGATGCCACTCATAGTGTATTGTACATGTTTAAACCATATTATTCCACACTACCAGTATCATACATGCTCAACTATCCATCTCTATGAGAGTAAAGAGCAAAACACGAGGCTGAGTTGAGAGGCAAGCAAGGAACGGTAGTTTAAAGTCGTTAAGGCCCCTTTAATCAGAGACTACTAACTCACTGTGGACTAAACTGGGTCACAGCGATATTTGCATGGTGCACCAAAGAACACGGTTTTACTGCTGGAGGGTACAACCAATCATAATAGGCAGTGCCACAGAAATTGTTGGTACAGGCTGATACAAGACATGGCAATACTCTTGCAGTCAGTGTGAAATAACAGGCATAATAACACAAGTATGCCATGTGTTCTTGCACAAGACCTCCTACAGGTCTAAACAACACTGTGAAGATTTGAGCTCTGAAATGATCATCAGGTCTCAACAATGGTGATAAATTGACAATATTTAAAAATAAAGTCTTAGAGGATAACTCCGGGGATATTTCATATATTTCTATATCTATATCAGCTGTTACATCAAATTATTTCTGATGGCCCATAAGGCAGCCATCTTTGTGTCTTGTATCAGAGAGTTTTTATAGGTTTTTAGGGTGTTTTACACAAAATCATTTTTCTTTTTACGTCAATTTAAATAATAAATAATTTGATCCATCTATCTTTCTAACTGGCTATAGATTGTCTAGAATATATATATATATATATATATATATATTATACAGATAAATATATATTTATCGCAAATCTTCAATTTGTTTATGTTTTGTTGTGTAGCTGTTAAGCCTGCTCATAATGTGTTTTATCAGGAGGCAGCAGTTTGGTTTAGTTTTCACTGTGAAGTTGTTTTTTTTATGGATTTATGTCATGTTTCTGTTAATACAAACCAAAAACAAATGTATATTTTTTTTCATGGGATTTTTTTTTCACTAACAAAAATGTGCAAAATTGTCGGTTGTTCTTATAATAACGCATTGGTCACCTTAGGTCACTGTGGAATATTGCAGTTTTCGACCACCTATACATGAGCGGAGTCCTTGAGTATCAGACGTCTCCCACAATGTCCTTGTTCTACTACAGCAGGGAGTCACACCACCGCAGCTGCTGCTGCTGGCTGTGATCACAGAGGGTCTTTATAAATAGGCCAAGGGCTAGGGAGGAAGCACCATGCAGAGGACATTCTTGGGATGAATCTCAACAAAACATTATTAAAAATGTGGCAGGATTTGGTGTAGCGAGATAGAAAGCTACATTACAGGAGATTCATTCTGTGGGAAATATTGCTATTAAGATTTAATTTGTGCCCGACAAGACTTGAACATAATGACTGTGGATAGACAGAACACCTGCTGCAACAATTCAATTCAATAGACTCATTGTACAGCACCCAAATGATTAGTTTATGGAATCTCATAATTGGAAGCGGTATTGTTTAATGTCTTGTCCAATAATGTTACATTTACAATCCTTCAACCTTGATTGGTGTGTTCTACTTGTTGTATGACTGCTTCACTTACATGCATAGTGAGGAAAGTAAAAGAAGGACTGTTTCTGTTTTTTATTTTATTTGATAATTTTGTGTCTATATTTGTACGAGTTGTATTGAATATAAAGGGTGCTATGACTAGTACTATGATATATGTAATGTTAAAGTCTATCTATCCAGGCTAGCCAAGGCCAATTAACCACTAATGGAGATACATTGATGTTATTATTCATTAGTCACAGGGAGGACACATGTCTTGCATCAAGGCCAAGATTTAAAAACAGATACTGCCCTTTATCAGAGCCATCATCCGTTTACTCAGCGTACATGACAGCCGTAGTAATGTTTAATCCTAATCCACTTGCATCTTGTTTTGTTAAAGTGATCACAGGGCACAGGACACTTGGCCTTGATATTTACAAGACTTGAGCCAATGTGTGTGTTGGTGGACGAGAGTGTGTAGCTTCAAGAGGGGAAATCTAACTACAACATTACAGACAGTGGGACCTGTGTTGCTGGGCCTTGGAAATGAATGGAGTGATAACACATGCTACATATCTGCCTTTTTTCTTCTTTAAACAAATATAATTTGGCTGGCTGGTTTGGGGCATACAAAATGGAAAGTTTTATTTAAAGGTCCAGAAGAAGTGAGGGGGATATTGAAAGAAAGGTAACGTGAACAGGTAAGGGTTTTTCGGCCAGTCTGGTGCTTTTTCTTTTATTTCTACTGTTGATTGCTCTATTTAAAAAAGTTTGGGAAACATTACTTAAACTTGAAATGCTGAAGTGTGTATTCCATGCAAACATTTGCCATTATGTTTTAAAACATCAAGTATTTGTGTCTTTTTCCATTTGCTTTACTCCTAACTGTTAACTTGATTGTCCAATTGATTTATTACAAAAATCTGTAGTGAAACAGATGAAACAGGGAAATGTGTTTTGTTGTTTATAAAAGTTTATTATTTCATTATTTCGCAGCTTGCAAAACACAAGGTCAGACATTTCACACTCACACATGAAAGTATATTTTTCTTTGACAGTGAAAACAGCACAGGATCATGGGATGTGGTCTGGGAAAGTCTGAACCACTGCTGACAAAATGTCACAAAGGTGCTGCCTTTATTATTCCAGTGAAATTCCAGAGTCAAATGTACCTTTTTACGCAATAATTTAATGCTATTTTTCATTTTTAGAGTCCATCTCAGTTCCAGGTAAATATATGTTTACTCCATCACATATTTACACAAAAGTCTCAACAAACAATTTTAACTCACTTTTCTACTCAATTTGTATGCACTCTGTGAAGCTGCCACTGGTAAGTCTTGCAGAATGGATCAAACTTAGTATATGAATGTGTTCATAGTGGAAGAGGAAGGTTACCTCAGCATGGTTATGTCCGAGTGCTTCCGTCTTGTCTCCTAATCTGCAGCGATCAGTGCGGCTCTGTTAATCCAGCGCTGGTACCGTCAGCATGTTGCACGGCTGGAGATGAGACGCAGGTGCACGTGGAACATCTTCCAGTCTATCGAATATGCAGGAGAGCAAGACCAAATCAAGGTGAGCACTGACAGAACTCGTCTTACCCACCAACATTTAGAAGCCTTGTGGATGGCAACATCAGGCTGTCGGTAAGAAATATACATTTTAAATATTGGATGTACTGCCATTACATTTTAAAACAGACATTCATGGACCCAAGAGGATAGTTCTTACCAACGTTGTGATCTCCAGACCTTCCAGCACCACCATGAGGCTGACATTTGTGGTTCAGAGTGAAAAATATATCAATTTGATTGAAAAATAATAATCATTACAAGATGGATGGCTGAGATATTCCGCATCCATGGTCCATCTGGGATTTATTACAATAACCTTAGTGGCCCCAACATTTTTATCTAAAATGTCATTTTTTCCAGTACTTTGATTTGACAATTTCAAAATAAGACATTTAACAACATGTCTTTTTTCTTCCTGCAGCTCTACAATTACTTTGGCTTCTTGATGGACCACTTCACCCCAGCCAGCAGTGAAAGTAAAACAGACCTCAACTCTTCACTGATGCAGAGTAGGTTTCATTAGATTACTGACAGTCAGATAATCTGAGTTTAACCAGTCTACTATCTGCTGAGAAACATAATGTGGGTTTGCCCTTACTTCTTCACTTCCTCTCTACACCTTTACCATAGGAAACCTTATATCCCACATATTTCGTAAGAATGAAATCTGTCTTGACACAGAGTGGGAGAGATATTTTTGCTACAAGAGCATTGAGGTGACAAAAAGCTACACAGGCCCCCATCTGATGTTCCCCGTGACGTTCTGTGGGGTGTCAAAGCTGGTGGAGGCCTTCAAGCACAAAGAAGTAAGTACATGAGTATATCCCCAAAGGTGTTCAATCCAAGGTTTGCTTTTTCTCCTCTGTGCTCGGTTTATACACACTTTCTTTGTTTTCTAGTAGCAGCTTCATGCTCGATATGTTCTGCAGCTTCTTGGAGAGACTTGGAGACTTCTGAGAACTTTCCCCAACATCAGTCACGTCATCGCCTGCCATACAAAGGCCATTACCATATGCGGTACTCAACAGCAGGCCTTTCCTGTATATATTGTTCTCAGATCTTTTCTCCCACATTATTTTCTTAACGTTCTTGAGCATGCAGTTACACTGTAACAAATATGAATTCATTATTTATCTCTTTCCCAGGGGATCTACACGGGCACCTTGAAGACCTGTTGTTGATATTCTACAAGGTACTCATTACATTCAATTAATCAAATTGTCAGACAGAGATGTTCATTTCAACACCTTACTCTCTCTAATCATACTAATCCAAAGTGCCTTTAATTGCTCTTGTATAGACCATTCTCGTATAGCAGTGATTCTGAAATGGGGGTACGCGGACCCCTAAGGGTACGTTGGGGTACTGCAGGGGGTACGTGAGATTTAAAAAAAAAAGTTAATTAAAAAAATACCATGCATGATTACAAAAATAATCTTAGTATAATAAGTTAAATAGAAAACACAATTTTATATAAAATATTCCTAGAACCACCAAGGGGGTCCTCATATAAACATGTCAAATTTGTGTATTGTATTTTATAGTTTTGCATAATATATCATTGTGTTCATTGGTTTGTTAAACAGATATTACTTCAGTTGAAAAACTCCTTTGAAAAATCAGTTATGTCGTTATGTTCTTTTTTTTCATGCATAAAATGAAAATATCCTTAGTTTGTTGTAAAGGAGTTAATAAATCAGGGAACATCACTATATTGGAATTATTTGTATAGGCTTTTTTTTTCGATCAAAAATGTTCGGGGTTGGTCAGGGTCTCTTGGCTGAGAAAATGTTTCAAAGGGGGTACATTACTGAAAAAAGTTTGAGAAGCGTATAGTATAGTTTCTACTCTTCTACTAGTATTAACCTCCTATTTTGATTATTCTTGTTCATATTTTGGTTCTGTATTTCTCTGTACTTATTTCTGGTTTTCTGCTGCATCACCACACATTTTGTTATACTTAATAAAAGGTGTCATCTTATTGTACCCCTTTCAGAACGGTTTGCCGTCCTCTGATAAACCATATGTTTTTAATGGAGACTTTGTGGATCGTGGTAAAAACTCTTTAGAGATCCTTCTCACCCTATTCGGCTTCCTGCTGGTCTACCCCAATGACGTCCATCTGAACAGAGGGAACCATGAGGACCACATTGTTAATCTGAGGTTCGAGGCCAATCACAAAATGCTCACACTGTATATGGTTTCATTCTTATTATATTCAACCTACAGCTGGTGTGTATACTAACCTAGTTGTTTAATGTGTGTTTTTTTCAGATATGGCTTCACTAAAGAAGTTTTGGGAAAATACAGGGTAGGTTTTGTTTGATTTGCATTCAACTCAACGTATTGTCCTATTTTGTTGTACTAAGACTATTTAAAACCCTGGGGGACATGTTGCATCATCATGATGTAGTTTGACTCAGTTAGTCCAATGCCTGCTTGCGTATTAACTCACATAATACCAAATGTCTATTAATCCACAACTGGAAATAGTGAATACACTTTTACTCCTGTTTTAGTCTGCAACTGAATGTGCCCAAATGAATAAAATAATGAGTTCATATTAAGAACTCACTTTATGGCTCGCTTTGTTCTGCAGGTGCATGGCAAGAAGATCCTAAAGCTCCTCCAGATGATTTTCAGCTGGCTACCTTTGGCCACAGTGATTGATAACAAAGTGCTGATTGTTCACGGTGGGATCTCTGACACCACAGACCTTGACAAGATAGCTAGAGTGGACAGACAAAAAGTAAGATGGCTTCAGGGATAATAACATTTGTGTATGTGGGGCAATTTACAGGCAGCAAATGAAGAATTGTTATCATGATCATCATACCAAGGGTCTGTGTATTTTTGAATGTTTGCAGTATGCATCGGCTCTCAGGCCTCCTAAAATGAAAGTCCATGGCTGTATGACTAAGATGAACGAAAACAGGGAAAGAGAGGCCTGTGGTCAGGTGGAAGGCCGGCGTCGAGTGTGTTCTCTGACTTACCACAGCTCGGCCCCGGATCACAGGCACGACCTCCCACGCCGCTCGCTCAACAACACCCCTGTGTGCAGTAAGTTAGACTTGTCGGTGGATGAGAAGCTAAATAGCAGGTGCAGGCTGTCTGGGTTTGATCAGGCCAGATGTGAACTGAAGAAGTCTGACTCATACCTGGAGTCTAAAACAACAGAGACAGATTTGGATGAGTGGAAACAAGTAAGTGGTCTCAGTGGTTGTTAATGTTTTGGCAGATGTTCAACATGTAGTATTGCTCCATAATGCACACATTTTATTATTTCACTGACTTTTTTACTGATTCATTTGACTTCCCAGATAGTGGATGTATTGTGGAGTGACCCAATGCCTCAAAATGGATGCATTCCCAATGAGGTGCGAGGCAGAGGCTGCTACTGGGGGCCAGATGTCACTGAGGAGGTGCTGCGAAGAAACAACCTGCAGCTCCTCATCCGCTCCCACGAGTGCAAACAGGACGGATACGAGTTTTGCCACAACCGCAGGGTGAGCACGAAGACACACAAGAAAGAGTTTAAGTTGCAATACTGACTATGGGAACAGGTACTTTTGTATGGAAGCCCATAAAGGACTCTTTTAAATGGTAAATGTTGATTTGAATTTATTTAAAACATTACAACTTTCCACGTGTTAAAACATAGTTTTTCCTTTTTCAAAGATGTAATTAGCATTTACTCAAAACACAAATATTTGTAATGTGGTAATTGAACACCAAAATGAGTACGGGGCAAAATTGATGTTGAATTATTTACTGAAATACAACATAAATATATACGGAAATTAGAGTGGAATTAGATTTTAAAATGATACTTTCATCAAATCCACTTTGTGCTTCCGTACTTTTAGGTTTTGAGTAGCTTTGTTGAGTATGACAGGAGATGAAAAACAGGAAATTAAGAAAAAAGTACAAAATGACGGTTGTGCGGTTGTTTTTCCATTTAATTAAACATTTAATCTGAAAGCAATTAGAAATTAGTGATTAACAAACAGCATATCTCTACACGTTTACTATTCATGTTAAGACTTACGGTATTGACTCTTATGTTGCATTTAGGTGATTACTATATTTTCAGCGTCTAATTACTACGAGGTGGGCAGCAACAGAGGCGCCTTCATCAGAATGGGACCTGACCTGGTCCCCCACATCATTCAGTATCAGGCCAGCACCACATGCAGAGAGCTCACCCTGAGACAAAGGTACAAAGACAGGGCAGCACAGACATCAGAATGACAGAACTGCATTTTTAATACTTTCCGTCGAGTGATATTACAGCAGTTTCCTCCGGAGGTGGTTGTGATTGCCAAGAAGCCTTAGCAGTATCGCCCTGTACGCAGGGCTGGACTGGCCATCTGGCATACCGGGCATGTTCCCGGTGGGCCGACGTGCCTTTTGGGCCGACACGTCATTTTTTTTTTTCTGAAGTCCCGGCCCATAAGACGGGTAGATTGGCCTTGTGTTTTTAGTAATTGACACTGGGCCGGCCGAATCAAATCTTTAATCACCTCCCCCTTTGGCCGCTCGGTGTGCATCATTATATCACGCCCCCAGGAGGTGAGCCGGCAGTTGAAGCCAAACTGCCTTTTTTTTCGAGAAAAAAAAAAGTTCGAGTTAGAAATGGCGAAGGCGAAGGCCAAGCGAAAAGGGGGAGCAGAAAAATTGCGGGCAAAAAAAAAAGCAGGCCCTTCGTGCTGATGCTGCCGCTTGTGTCAAAATAACCGACATGTTTAGTACAGGTGCAGGTCCATCTTCTTCTAACCCGTGGCCGATATTGGTGGTGAGGAAGATGAGGGAGAGAGATCAGCGCGAGTGGGGAGAGCGTGGAGAACTCGCGGTAAGCAGAAGCTAAGACAATTAGGAAAAGATTATTATTAAGGTTATGATACTCTGTCGTTCTGGAACCCATTAATATCCCTTTGATGAAGCACTAATAAGACAAATATTATAAGAGAAACATTCGTTAGCCTACAAGCTAGTAAGCTGTCTTTTTTAGGTTTTCCCTGGCAAGTTAAAATATAGCTTAATGGGACTCTGATACGTTGTCTCATTGAAAGTTAACCAACATTCATGAACAATTACTGTCAGCTGGCAGCTTGTTTTGTTTAGTTTATTTACTTATTTGGTTATAAGGGCAACAGTGGTCTTTTGGGACCTGAAAAATGTTTGTATAGTCAGCTTTTTGTGGTAGTTTTGATTGACAATATATAGAATGAATCATATAGAAATAGATAAAAAATTGAGGCACACATGTAGTTTTGACCATTAACTGTGTGGTATTGTTATGTCAATGCCTATTTGTATGGACCTCTATCAGGGAATCCATTCATTCTGTATCATTGTGTTGAGCCAGGTAGCATCCCCAGAGGAGGAGAGTGTCAGCGAGAGTGAGGAGAGCAAAGAGCAGGAGGACATAGATTACTTTGCCCGCCCCGAGCCGATCTATGTTACAGATGTTTTTAGAACAGCACCCACAACAACATACCAGAAATCCAGTTGTGCAGAAGGTATTCACCTGTAAAGATGGCACCAGCAGAAAGTGGCTTACATATTGCAAGGGACGTCATATGTTGTTTTGTTTTGTATGTCTGGCATTTGGGAAGAGGACTGACACTGGCACATTTATAACTGGAATGTCAGATTGGAGGCACGCACACCAGCGTACAGAGGAGCACGAAAAGAGCATTACACATTCAACCTGTGCTGAAGCTTTTTTCTTACGGTGCTCTAAAGCAGACATTGAAAGCATGTTTGCTGGCAGTCAAATGTCTGCTCATAGGGAACAAGTCTGAAAGAGACGTCAGGTTTTGGAGCGTGTGGTGGATGTGGTGAAAGTGCAGGCAGGTGGAGAATGAGGGAGCATATATGCTAGCTGACAACACCGTGGACCACGGTAACTTTTTGGAGCTCATCCTTTTATTAGGAAAGTATGATGTCTGCTTAAAAGAGCATCTGGATGATTGCGTAGAGAAGAGCAAGAAATTGCACCAATCCAGTGGAACAAAAGGTAGAGGGTCTCTCATCACCCTACTCTCCAAAACTACTGTTAACTCCATAATAGAAACTGTTGGTAGTCTAATCAAAGAAAGTATCTTCAGTGATGTCCAGAAGGCCGGAATGTTTTCTGTTCAGCTGGACACAACACAATACATAACTTCTCAGGATCAGTGTTCAGTAATCTTAAAATATGTCAATGAGACTGTGCAAGAGAGGCTTGTGGCTTTAGTGAAGTGCCATGCATCCACCGGACAATACTTTGTGAACTTGATCTCAGAGGTCTTAGAGCATCTGAAACTGGACAAGGGCATTTGTATAGGTAATGCAACAGATGGAGCATCCAATATGCAAGGCCGGTACAAAGGATTTTCTGCACTGATGACCTCCCAGTCACCCACTCATGTCCATGTGTGGTGCTATGCTCATGTTCTTAATCTTGTCCTGGCTGAAACTACCCAAACTGTCATCGAATGTGGAACACTTTTCAACCTAATCAATGACATAGCAGTGTTTATCAGGGAGTCATATCAGAAGGGTCAATCTGTGGGAGAAACAAGCCCAAGAAAAGATGCCGTCGACTCATCCTGTAGACTCATCTGGTCCTATCTCTATTGTGTTGTCATAGAAAGGGGAGGCAGGGCACTATAGGGTCCCCCCCCTAAATTCACTAGAAGTCATCATTTAAGGGGTTATTTTTAAAACTTTTCTTCTGGGGGGGGCATACCCCCCCAGACATTACATTGCATTTAGCTGAGGCTTTTATCCAAAGCGACTTACAATAAGTCCGTTCCACCAGGAAGACACAACCTTGAAGAAAACAGAATCATATAAGTACATCAGGTTTCATAGAGCCAAACATTTCAAGTGCTACTCAACTGGCTTTAGATAAGCCAGTCCTTTATTAGTATATAAGTGCTTTGTTAGTAATTATATCGCTCGAAGTGGAGTCGAAAGAGATGAGTTTTCAGTCTGGAAGATGTGTAGGCTTTCTGCTGTCCTGATTTCAATGGGGAGCTCATTCCACCATTTTGGAGCCAGGATAGCAATCCCACGTGTTTTTGCTGATGGGAACTTGGGATGGCCTACCTGCCTGTCAGCCTTCCATCTGTGCACAAACTTATCTCGTGCCCTCATTGGTCATGTGCGCGTTCGTGTGTGTTGGAGGAGTGGCTCTGTAAGGAAGTCTGAAGTTGGTGCATCATGGCATGTGGCTCATTAAAAAAGAAGTACAGCTATTATCTCCCTCTTGTATAACTGGTCGGCCCCACCTGCAGCAGGTAAACCAGGGTTGCCAACTCTCACGCATCTAGCGTGTGACACACGCTTTCACTCTCAATCTCACGCTCTCACGCTGCCCAAACTATTCTCACGCCAAAAACAAGATGAACCGGTGATCGTTTTTGGTTGGTTATTTACAATGTTGAGTTGACAGCTGCTCAAGCTGTTGATCCGCTCCCTCCCCGCCTCCACCACCATCAGACCCCCCTGCTCGGTCACTGTTCGCTTTGTGAGAGGGTTTGAAGGTCTAATTTCTAATGATTGATAGTTACACATACTTGTTGTATGTATTAGTTTAGTTTTTCCCTGGTACGTAAAAAGGATAATAATAGTGTTTTTTTAAAATTATACTGAGTTATTCTTCTTGTCAGGAACCGCTACTATTCGTTTGTTTTATGGATTTGGGCCGGTCTGGGTCTAAATGCCAGGGCCGATTTGCTGTCCCAGTCCAGCCCTGCCTGTACGGGAACAACACCGAACTCCATCTTTCCCTGAAGTCCCTGTAGGACTTGACTCGAGCCATAGAGGTAATAATATATAAGGACTCCAATGACCCCAAGGAGGCACAGGCAGGGGTGGAAGTAAAAAGTGGGAGGAAGTGGAGAGCCGACAAAGCTTTTTTGCAAGCAAAGTCTCAGATCCACCACAAAGCAATAGTGGGAACATTGATGCAGGGGAGAGCTGGACTGGGAACCTTCAGAACCCCCCAGTACGACAAGGCCAAGGGAGAAGAGAGGTGCAGGCTGGTACAGGAGGAAGTAAGGGCAGCAGTTGAGGAGGAGCGGACTAGCAGAGCGGTTGGCCTGAGGCAGCAAGGGGCCTGGACGAGGTGGGAGCAGGCCATGGACCGTAAAGTCACATTGACTGATCTTCGACGGGCAGTACCTCAACGAATCAAAGTCCTGGTCCAGGTAGTGTACCATATCTTGTCCAGCCATTCGAACCTCTTCACCTGGGGCAAAGTGGAATACCCGGCATGCCCGCAATGCCCAGGCAAGGGAATGTTGGAGCCCATCCTGAGCAGCTGCCCAGTGGCTCTTTGTCAGGGCCTTGCGCTATGATCAGGTTGTGAAACCCATCCCAGAGGCCATCGCCAGGGCAAGAGTGTATGATGTCGAAAGAACCGAAACACCCGATAACCCCTGGTTACATCACCGATGATGTGTTCAGGAGCATCAAAAGATGTATTTTTTATTAACATCGCAAAATATTGAGATCGTATGATCACATTATGATCAGTTTATTTCCCAGTGATTCCAAGATTTACTGAAAAAAATAATCTTCCTTTTTTTGTCAGTGTTGGCTGGACGGAGAGATCCGCTCTGCAAGCTCTGAGGGAACAACTTTTCGTACATAGGTCTGATCTCATCAGTGCCTTCCAGGAGTTTGATCCTAACAACAAAGGTACTGAGCAGCAGTGATAGATCGTTACACTTTTAGGGCAGTTTCTCTTACCACCACTTAAGTCTGATCCATCAAACTCAAAGCAGGAAAATAACCAAATTGCAGGATTATACGTTGGACAAAGGTTAACAACTGGTAAACCTGATTTGGTAGGACTGACATGGAATTTTTGCAGCAGTCTGATATGTACCTGACATAGGGGACAAAGAGAACATATAAGAGGTTTCTCAATACTCAAATTTCCCCTCCTCGACTCCTATCCCCGACTCCCCTCCTCGAGACTTGGTGCTGCCCACAGGAGATGCGAGCGGAGGACTGAGGAGGGGAACCGAGGAGAGAGGAGGGGAAGCAGCAGGTGGTTAGAGAAATGAGAACTCCTCTCCTCTGAGCGGTCATTTTAAAGAGACGTCCATTAATGATGACAGGAGGCACAACAGCCCTCTGTCTGATGGACAGATGTGTTCATGACGACTTATATATTTACTTTTAATTCATTCACAGTGCGGTATAATGAGACAATAACAGGCTACAGATGCGGACATATACACACACATATATTTATATAAATATATACAATTTCAGAATCAAACAAGTATGAGAGCACTCTCATAATAACGTAACACAATCAGAGACTGGATATATCCCCCCCCACCCCTCTCTCTGGTCGCTGAAATTGGGAATTGAAATTACGGGCCAAAAGTTGTACAAGTATTAAAAGTAAGCATACCAAACCAACTGAGACCCGTCTGTCCGCCACATCTACGCACTGTACAACACACACCTACACACTGTACCACACACACACCTACACACTGTACCACACACACCTACTGCTCCTAAAGCATAATCAGGCTACAGCCGTTGTGTATTTTATTATGTGAAGCACTAAATGGTCTCAGAAAAATATCGACTCTTTGTTTGTAGATATCTACTAAACTACAGCAAACAAATACAGAAAGTAATGTAGGCCTGTTATACTGAGTGATATATATTTTACACACTGCTCTGCTTTCTGCACGGACCTCACAGCTGTTCTCACTGTAAACATCGCGTTGCGATGAAAGCAGTTACTAATATAATATCCAAGGGATGCATGCAGAGCTGTCATTGGCTGACATAAGTCCGGCCGTGCGTCACGCCTCCACCGTTCCCGGAAATGCATCCGTGGAGGAGCCGTGGAGGATGCATCAGTGTCTCCTCGGTTAGAGCTCCTCCAGAGAGCATCCTCGACGCTCGATCCTCGGTCCTCGAAGTGCATTTAGAGAAATGAGATGTCCTTCAACATGGCGCGCTGAAATTCATTTCCGGGTCACTACCGGAGGACCGAGGAGTCGAGGAGGAGAAATTTGAGTATTGAGAAACCTCTATAGTGTATGCTAAATAAAATCCCAAAAATAGTGATGATATAAAGACGATCTAGAATGTAGATTTTGTGAGCATAATAGATTACTACTGTCAAGTCAAAGTAAAGAAACTCATTAAGACTAGCCACATGGCCTATGGCTTGTAAAAAAATGCCCTAACACTCAAGAGGAAGCTTATTGTGTTAGTTATTCAAAATGAATTTAACTCTACTGTATATTTCTATCTGTGCCTCAGGGATGATCTCTGTGACGCACTGGGCTAGCACCACAGAGAGAGTCCTGAATCTGGGTCTGCCCTGGAGGGTGCTGCGCCCTCAGCTTGTCAGCAGCACCCAGCATGGCATGATGGACTACCAGCGGTGGATAAAGGAGCTTTCAATCACTGAACCCAAATTAGAGGTCAGCCTTTAAAACTTGTATCCGATATATATCCTTCTTTCTCACCGTTTATGTAAGACTGACACACAGATTAGCAATATTCGTTTCTCCCATTTCAGATCTCAGATAACAGTATCCTGGATACGATGTACAAGAACCACTCCAATCTGGAAACCATTTTCCGGATCATAGACACAGATCATTCAGGTCAGTAAACAGCTTCACTTGGATCCCACTGAAAAGATCATTTTTGTTTTCTCTTGCAGCTTTGACTTCATGAAAGTCAATGATTTGGTATCACTACTCTGGTCCAAACTGAAATATCTCAAGAACTATTGGATGTTCCCAAGAAGATAAAACCCTACTGCTTTTGATTGACGCCTGGTTTTCCATCTTGTGTTATCAATCTAGTAGAATACATATATCAATAAACGAGTTTGCATAATCACATTAGCTTTAAGCTCAAATCACCACACCCTCACAGCGTCTTTGTCTTTCTGTCTAAAAGCTGGTCACATTTCACAAATGTCTACAACAGTGGGAAGATAAGTCTTCTGTTTCTAGACTGTAATAAAAGGTCTTTATATAAATCTTAAACACTCTCACTCTTTGTTCATTCTTCATTAAAACACCTTCCAACTTTAAGTTAATCATCAAAATGCAAGGCATGCAATCACACTAGATATCTATATATGCTACACAAGTTTTTCAACTACATCCTCCTTGTGTTTCCTTTCAGGTTTAATCTCTTTCAAGGAGTTTCATCAGACCTGGGAACTCCTGCGCTCTCATCTGAAGACAGAGATTAGTGCCAAGGCTATTGCAGACCTGGCCCAGAGTATCGACTTCAACAAGGACGGGAGCATCGACATCAATGAGTTCCTGGAGGCTTTCAGGCTGGTGGACATATCAGCACATAACTGAGTCTGGACCTGGACCAGGAGCTGTACCTGCTGCATAGAAAACACCCAGAACCGATTTGGAAAACCTGTGGAAATTCAAATGTTGAGTACTATCTCATCCATTTGACCTCATGAGATCAACCTACATATGTTCTACATCTTAGATGTTATTTTGTGTACCCTTTTTATCTCACAAATTAGAGTATCCTTAGGATTTATGTTTTTAACTGATGGATCAAGCTGGTCAGAGAAAGTTATGAATGAAAGAAACCTACCGATGTTACACATTAAAGTCTGTTTAAAGGAGTGATGGAGTGCTAATGCTTTTCTGAAATAGGTTGCATTAAAGACAAGTCTTTGCAATGTCTAATAAATGTCCTTAAGTGATGTCACTTGAGTCAGCGTGAGTTGGACCAGTGTCATTTCGAGGACTCTAATGCATGAGGGGATATCATCTTTGGGTAGCTGGTTAATCAGTTCAACTGTCAATCAGTTGGAATGTAGGACATTAATCCTATCCACTCAAGCAGGACTTAGATGAGATGTTGGAAAGGGCTCGTCTGCAAGTAAACACAGGTGATGAGATATGTCCCTTATGAGAAGCCAAACAACATTACTATATTTGTCACACCGAGCGATTACTAAAAAAATTAAGTTACCTTTTAGGGCTTTACCGAATAGTTTGAAGCCTCATTCATAATGATGACGTTTAAATTCTAAAACACAATTTTGGTGGATTATTTCATTTTAAACCCAATATTGCTGCACAGTTAAGAGATAAGATTAGGCTACATTAATATTATTCAAAACTATAATTTTTGGATAACATTTCAGTGGTGTCTGCTTAATCTTATGATCCCAACCTTAAAGGAAACAACCTCAAAATGTATTGAATATAGAATATTATAATTTCCAAAAATCAAAAGAACTAGTAAATGAAATATATTCGGTCAAAAACGGTCTGCTCTCCAGCTTGTCATACACAAAGGTTACCCTCAAGATCTTCATTAAAAGAAAGTTGATTTATTGAAAAGACTAACTCATTCAATTGTATGACTATTTTAAGGGTTATAACATCACAAAACCTTATGTAAGGCCATCAATGCTTCATTTAAAAAACCTTAACAGAAAATGTAAAAGTGATACAAAGGTGACGTTCGGTACAGTCCTACCTTTATATTAAGTTTGCAAGGAAAGGGATGTAGTGAAGAACTTGTTGACAATTTAACTGACATTTATTACATTCTAACAGCATAAAAAAAGAAATACAAAGTTGTATTTACAATGTATTCAATCACAACACACTCAATCCCACGATTTGTTCACAGGGCAGGCTCAAACAGTCTCATATGCATAATCTGATTAAACATTAGGTAGGCCAGATGTTGTTAGACGATGATGAGTCTTTCCACTCTTTATCAGTTCGGTATAAACCTTCCTTGTTTTGTTGGTACAGATAGTGGGGCCTGATCAAATGCTGATCAAGAGGGTAACTACTACTCCAAATTCAGATCCTCTGTCATGACCTTGTTGCTCCCATGACAAAAAGGATAATATGACTCGTCTTGATGAAAGGCAGGACAGCTTTTTATAGGATTTATTTTGAGTCAGGGCATGTGTATGAGTGTGTTGGCAGGGTAGACTCAGCTCAGGATGCTTCCTCTCATGTGTCCACTGTCACTCAGGCCGTGCTCTATGAGTTTAATGTCCTCCAAGTCATCTTTGATGACACTGATCAAATGACTCAACCCGTCCTGCTGCTGCTTTAAGTGCTGAGAGGGACAGACAAGAAAGAAATGTTACCATTTATGCCCAACAGGAAAAATAAAACACTTTTGCTTTACTTGGGAACTGTGCTTTCAGAGATCTGGATTCCACAGTTACAGGGCAAAGACGTTAAAACAAGATGCATTTTGTAAACTCCAGACTCACTTGTTTGATTTCCCTGAGGAGGTCTGCATCAACACTGTATCGCTCTTCTGATCTCACAGCTCCAAAGTGATTCTGCATCCTGATCTGAGACATTAATTCATTCAACCGACCCTGGAAGAAAAAATAACACAAATACTGTAAAATCTCCACCAAAGACTTTGTCCCAAGCGTTGGATTGACAAGCCAAAAATACAACTTGATGGAAATGAAGCTTAAAAGGCAACATGTGTTGTTTATCCCAAGGATGGCCAACAACTCATGACCGCTAATGGTGTCACATTATGCGTTGGCAAAGGAAATAAAGAGTAATAATGCTTGCTAGCAAACATGGATGTTAACAATGCAGGTTTCAAACTTAAAACAAAAAAACCCTGCATTTTGGGGAGCAACATTGAATGTAACCACTTTAGTTCGTTGAAACCTTCACAGGACACCTTAAATAATAAATACAAATAAATAATTGCAATGTAACCAGATAGCGAAAATAATACCAATAAAAACTGTTTTATTTCCTGAATAACTTATAAGTTATCTACCAACTTACAGGATATTGAATTAATTGTTGAAAACCAATTTGTTTTGGTAATATATCATTTTGAAACAGAGTAAACCCTTTTTATCCTGATTTACATTCTAATAAGAGCTCGATGGATGGAAAAATGTCCACGGTCAGCATGCATGTATAACTTGTTTGGTTTAGGCCAGGGGCGGTTCTAGGGGGGCGGGGGCAACAGGGGCCATTGCCCCCGTAACACTGACCAGGGACCCCCGTGGCACCGCTCCAAAAAAAAGGTTACAATATTACAATTTATTGGAACTAAATCAAATCAGAGACCCGGATGTACAATGGAGATTAAACTGTTCATTACCTCATATAAAAGCAAATACTGTTTATGTTTTTTAATTAAATTGTCACTTAAAGTTATTAAAACAAATACTCTAAATGAAAAAAACCACTGAAACAAAGGACTGTAACTTAAATGTACTAAAACAAATACCTTTACAAAAACAAATACCAATTACTGTATTTTATGTTTATTTTACACAATAACTTTATACTGTCTTTGTAACCCGCTTTTATTGTGCCCCTCTCATGAAATAACTGACCCCAGCCTGACCCCCCTAGTCAAATTGGTCTAGAAGCGGCACTGGTTTAGGCACCCTTACCTTGAACTGCTGGGCGCATTCAGCTCAGACTGAATGGTATCCAGTTGAACTCTGAGATGCTCCTCGTCCACTTGGATAGCATAGCCACTTTTTCTCTGGATCTCCTGTTTGATCAGCACCTGGCAGGAAAACAGGGATGGGAGGGAGGAGTGATCAATATCAAAGAAAATATTGGACACACAGACAGTGCCTGGGCATTCAAACTCTAAGTGGGGACATGTCTTTTATCACAGACCTTGTCAATAACCAACAAAATGTGGCTGAACAAAGAGAGCAGCTACCTGCAGCACCCTGTGAGAGAGATCCATCAGCTTCCTCTTGTACTGCGCAATCTTGGCCACTGTTGTCGCCTGGTTCTTCTGCAGTTCACTAATGTCACCGGAAATAATCTGTAGTCCATGTGTGGGTGTTTTTGTGGAGAGTATTTGTGTGGGAAAAAGGAAGGGAGGTAAATTATTAACATTTTTGACATTTCTCTACCGATAACATTTTTAATAGAAAACAATTTAGCTCAACAACAAACTATGTTCAGTTTTTCAACTCAGTCCTACACACAGTTTCCCTCAACAAATAGTGAGTGGCGAGTTCCCTTTGCCACTATAATATTAATGAAGCTTGTTAATAAAAGGTCCTTTCATGCAAGAAATGGAGGCCGAAGTTCTCTAAAATAGGGAAAAAGACACAAAAAGAGCTTCGCATTGATACACAAAAGTAAACACTTGTGGCTGTATTTATAATATTTATTTTGGCTATAAACAACCTGTTGGCAGCATTTATTGGACATCTGTGTACTCTGTCCTTGACACCACAAACTCTGGTTCAAAATACCTTTGTTGATTATCAGAAGGCACTGTGCCCATGTCCAGCGAGTCTTTCTTTGACATTTGGAGAGCTAAAACAGACAGCAGTGTTTTCACTTACATCCACTCTGGTCTGGTGCTGTTTGGTCATCTGCTCCTGGAACTGCAGCCTGCGAAGGAGCTCCTTGAAACCCACCATGGGCACTGGTATTAGTCTGGACACATTTTTTTAATTAAATTAAATGAAAACATGCATTTCTACATAATGTTACTTCATGTCTTTTTTTTTGCAGAAAAGCAACAGGCAGAAAAGCAACAGGCAGAAAAGCGGTGCATAATGGACAATGTTCAAGCATGTCAGAGCCATCTATTATTATTTTGTTGAAATAATGAGTGACATGTGGAAACACTTTTAAATCTCTTGAGAAAAAAGGGCTGTTTAATTGAACTTTAATTCAATATATATAGGAAGTCTAGGCAGCGGCTGCAAACACCCAAATCTGAAAAAATGTATAACACTAACCTCATAAAATATGAAGCTCTGATTTGGTTGTGTGAAGCTTCTTTTAAATGAAAATGTGCATCCAATTAGGATAAACGCGTAAAACGAGTAGCTCTTTATTGCATAGGTGGTGCAGGGAGTTAAGAAAATAATTGATTAAGAGCAGGAGAAAAAAGATTCAAACAGGACGCGCTGGAGAGGGGGCGGGGCTTATATCCATGTAAATACTGTGGTGGAAACCAACTACGACAAAATGAACCTATTTTATCGTGATTTAATTGTAATGCACGCTTCAAAATGATGCCGAAGTAACTAAATACTGATAATGGTTAGTAAAAACCAAGCTGTCTAGTCAGGATTCACAGTATTGCACTTCATTTATTGTCTTGGTTGATTCTGTTGGCTTATATTTTATCAATAAAGGTATTTATATTGTTTTTCCCTTTTGAAACAGATGTTCAGTTATGCTAAAGTCTTTGATTGCACTTCAAGTCTAAAGCTTACATTTTAATTATTTGGCACTGACTTTTCCTCATTGATGTTTTATGTTTTACTTAGTTATGTTTTACTCTCCTTTTCATGTGTATTGATGTTACATCACTGCTAGTGCTACCTAAAACAGAAAGTGAATTTTTATACTGAGAAACTGTGCCTTGAATATTTTATTTTATTTAGCAAGAGAGTGCACTTTACTTGGCGAAGAAACCAGTGTTAACGTTTGTTGTAGGGTGTAGGCCTACCTACTTGAACACTGAGGAAGCCATATCAAAATTCCTGTTGAATTGTTCATTCAGGGATTCATTGCAGAATTAAAACCAGCTTGAAATGGTATTTTGGTCTGTTACTCCTTTTTATTTTAGTTTTTGTTACCTTGGTTGTACTGTTAAGTAACTTGAAAAATAACCATAATAACTGACATGAAAAAATATCGTGATAAATATCGTCTATCGTGATACTGCTTGAAAAATATCATGATATTATATTTTTCAATATCGCCCACTGCTCAAGTTGGAATGGGGCTTGAGAGAATTATATACAATCTTAGCTCTGATTTAGCTAGCATTTAAGCAGTTGGTACAGTAAGTGTTAACCAGGAAGGTAAAATGCAAGTATGTTGGTTGAATTTAAGGCCCCGGCCACACGAGGACGATAACGGTCGTTTCCGTTACCGTTCTATGTCATAGAGACCATTCGGCCACACTAGGATGACAAAATACAGCACTAAACGACTACGGTAACGATAACGGGTCCCAAGGTGGATAGACCGGCATACGCAACGCTCTGGGGGGTCCAACGGCTCCGTGTGTACGCCCTATACCAGGGGTGGGGAACCTTTTTCCTCTCAAGGGCCATTTCAATTTTTTCCACATCTTCCGAGGGCCGTACAAATGATTGACCTCTGCTTAAAAATCACAGCCCATCCATTTGGCCTTTCTTTCATGCTGTGCAAAGAAAAAGCAACCTCTTAATCCAGATATCTTGCCATGACTCGCGCATGCATGCACGTGCACGGTTGTGGCATGACCACCAAACAGAAGGATATGGACACAAGATGTGTGCAAATGTATTTAGTTTCCTATCCATGTGGACATGATTTAAGTGGGGGGGACCTAACCTCCTCTAGGGGGATCCGGGGGGCATGCTCACCCGGGAAGGTTTTTTTAAATATTGAAGTTGAAAGCATCAATCTGGTGCACTTTGAGAGCAACATGAGAGATCTATGGAAACATCTCTCAACACCCATATGAAACAGAACTGTAAGCAGATTTACTTTTTCTTTATGGATATTTTACAATATTTTATCACTCCCCTTTCAAACTGTATTCTTGTTTATTAATTAATAACAACTTTTTTTTACTGTCATATAGTATTTTATACCTGTTTACTTTATTCTCTTGTTTTTTGATAACTATAATGATCATATAAAGATGTGCCTTTACCTCACTGGTTGTATAAAAAGCTTCTTATATTCGTTAGCACAGCTAGCTAACCAGATGCTGATAGCAACAAAGTTATTGACTTGATCAGTATGACAGATGAACAGATCGCCACTGGGCTTTCAACTAAAGACACAGCCCTGCAAAAACTGCGGCATGTGTACGGCTCCTTATGGATACTGCGATTTTTGAAGTCCCGGAGTGGCGTTCTGGTGCTCTCCGGTAGAACTGCACCCCTGTCAGACATTAGGCTCGTGTTGTGTTCAAGGACCATGACCGTTGCCAGGAAAAACAGGCACTCGCTTGTTTAATTATTTTGCGGTCTAGATTTCTTTAATTTTTTTCTTTTTTGCGTGTGTTTATAAATTACCTCGAGGGCCATACCAAATGGTCTCGCGGGCCGTATACGGCCCGGGGGCCGGAGGTTCCCCACCCCTGCCCTATACCATCATTTTCTGATAATGATGAGGCAATAGCCCCGCCTCTCCCCACCTCTGCTGCTCACCCCCGCGTCAAAGTAAACTGCACACTGAATTCAGATTATTTCTCTTTCTCTCGATATGGACATAAACGCGAGTGAAGTCTAATCTGACAGGACGGAGACACGCAGCTCTGCTCACCTGCAGCTCACCTGCAGCTCCTCCCGCTGTGATGCAGCGGTGAACGGAGCAAAACACACACTTCAAGTCAGATCATCACCCTTAGCTATTTTAATTACCTCTCAAACTACCTAAACTAGTTATAAATATGTTTATTTTTACTGTCGGCCGGGTCACTGACTGGATCAGCTGCTGCATGAAACAGACACTGACACTGTCAGAAGAGAGGGAGGAAAAAGAGAGGCTCCGTGTATTTTATTATTACATTATATAGAGTCGTTATTCATTTGTTTTAAAGCTCAATAAATAACAAAGAAGACCTTTGACCGGCACTTTTATAATTTTGTCCGGAAGATTTAAACTTTAATACACGTTGACTGGCGAAAAACTCTGCCCGGTTCCCTCGGCCCCCACCGCGGAGAATAAACAGAAGGGCAACAATTACAACTTTGCTGCTTTTGTGGAGGAAGTTACAGCGCCACGTACAGGCTCGGCATATGTACTGCAGCTTCTCCAGCGGTTGGAGCTAAACGAAGCTGTCTCGTGTGGACAGAAACTTTCCGGTGTCTATTGCGTGTGGACGGAAGCCTTTTTTGCAATTGCAATTGCGTATGCGTTTTACCCTTATCGTCCTCGTGTGGCCGGGGCCTAAAATTCAGTAACTAGATAATCTACTCCCCGTCATCACATTGTTCATAAACCCCCTTTGTTCACTTACTTGTCTGGCTCAGGGTTGTCCACCTTAGCCTGCTCCCAAATGATGGGGTCCACTCCTAGTGAGAGGAGACAACATCCTCATAAGTAAATAACTTCTAATCACCAACAAACTAATTAAAATCATCAAGATGATGACACAACTATGCATTTACCTGCAGGTGCATTCTGCAGCAGCTGTTTGAGCTGAGCTGGAGACAGCTCTGTGCACGTCCCCGACATGGCCACTCCGATCGATGCGAGCTGGGCCTTGATGTTGCCCTGCTCCAGATAACTGAAGAGTGTGGTGGCAGGGATCCGCTTGGAGGTGCCATTAGGAGAACGCTCCACCACGTAAATGATCACCTCAGTCCTAGGGCAAAGGACACACAAACATTTAAATTACATTTTTTAGATTTATAGAATTTATTACACCTAAAATTCTTGCTTTGGTTTAGGACCAAAACACATTTCTGATCCTTTGCTACATTATGAACCATCCAGAACGGTCTGCTTTCTGTTCGCAGAGTCAAAACTAAACATGTACAATCAGCGTTTTTTTTTACACTCCATCTATTGGGAATAAAATACCAGAAAACTTCACGTCTGCTGCAACTCTCAATTCTTTAAATCAAGGCAGGAGACGTGTTTGTTTGCTAAAGTGTTGCTTATTTGTAAGCACTTTAAATCGCTTTGTCGTTGAAATGTTGAACATAAATACAATTACATTTCCTTGTCTTCCAAGTGTGTAATAGTACTGAATGACATATTATAGTTACTTACTGGTCATTGGGCAGGGCTTTGACACCATCCACATTGACAGTGGTTGCTTCCCAGGACTTTGTGAAGAGTCTCCACCAGCTGCTGCTGCTGCGCTCGCACATCAGCTTCCTTTTTATTGAGAAGTAAGGCCACTAAACCGTCCTCATCCTTACTCACTGGGACACAGCTATAGCCCACCGCCTAGGAAACAAATCACAGAAATACCATTTGATGAAGTTCAAAAGAACCTAAAGTACACTTTTATGAACTATCGGTCATTACCTTGAACCTGCAGAATGGGTTCTCCTGTGTGAAGTCGACAGGTTGGTTGTTGTTGCTGTAGTATCCCTTCCCAGTTCCCCAGTAAGCCTGTAACTGGTTCCATTTGGCTAAGATGGTGTCACGTTCGTCTCCTAACAAGGTGGGGGCTGACAGAGCAGTGACCTGCTGATACAGCTGGGTGGTCTGAGCCTGAGCCTGCTGCTGGGCCTGCTGCTGGGCCGGCTGACCGAACAAGCCTCCTGCTAGGGGGCAGGTGAGGTCAAATATCACGTCAGATTGTGTAGTCCTTTACATTTCCGGAAACATCTTTATGGTCTTATATTAACAGGGCAATACTACAAAAGTCCCCAAAAATTGTACAACTTAATAAACAGTATTTTATGTGTGCTTCAACTGCACATTTGTATTGATGTCGATAATAATGCTGATTTCTGTAAACATGTGATTGTTGTCGCCCTCTGCAGGGATAAGAGGTAAACCGTTTGTAGAGTTGTAATGGAAGTCTGTGTGTGTGACCCTGCTGAGAAAATAATTATAGGTTGGATTTTGAAATGGTTTGAATTCCCTGTTTCTTTTGCTGCTCAAACGTACTTCAATGTGATTATCGTCAGTGACGAGCCGACTATTAAATGTGCTTTTCATTTCATTTTCATGATAATACTGCCTAAGAAACTGATAATTAACTAACCGAGAAGCAATTTCAGATATAAGCTTGAATTTTCTGTATTGACAACGGCTGTCCTTGAGATCCAGGTCTTACCTGTCTGCTGCTGAGTGGGCTGGATATTAAAACCGCCAAACCCTCCCAGGGTTGTTGTTCCTAATCCAGTTTCAAATCCTGTTGCCCCAGCAGGAGCCGCGGTACCAAGCCCAGAGGAGAACCCAAAACCTTTGTTCTGTGTGTTACCAAACAGGCCTCCTAAAACAGAACAAAGTATCAACAGTGAGAAAAAATATCCTACGTTTTTTGTGACTGGAAATTTGTTTTTTTAAACGCTGTATGCACGCAACTTGTATTTCCTTGACATAAACATACACAAAGAAAAGCAATAAGAGTTACACTGCTGACCTGTGGTGTTGGCAGGAGTACTAAAGCTAAAAGTGGATCCTGGTGCAGGTGCAGTTGCTGCAGCTGCCCCAAAGCCACCAAACGTACCTGAAATGTTAAGCAAATCATGCCAAGTGAGATGGAGGAGGTGATACAAAAAGGGTTGAAAGATAGATAAATGGAGTAAATAAAAAAGAATGAAATAGCTGACTGACATATAGGGAGCTTAAAGTCATGACAGAGCTTTGAAGATTTTCCCCCATTTAGCATTGCTTATCTTTTTTTACCTAGAAGGTGAAATGTACTAGATTTGCAAAGAAATCAAAAGGAGAGTGCATGATACAACATTTTGTCTCCTCATGCAAATGGAACTACGATGCATGACACTTTATGAGACAAAGCCACAAGTGAGATGAAAAATCACTGCACCACACAGATGTGAAAATGGATGAAAATGTGTTTACAGACAGACTGTACTGATTCATTAAATCACAAAGGTCATCTACCTGTGCTAGCCAGGCTATTACCAAAATTGAAAACAGTGCCAGTGGTGGTTGCTGTACCAAAGCACCCCACATTAACGCTGACTGCTGCTGGGTTGGCATTTAAACCAAACCCCCCAAAACTAAACCCACCAGCCGTGGTGTTTCCAGCTCCCAGCCCCCCAAATCCTGCAGCCAGCGGAGGCAGGCAGCGAGAAAGAGAGAATGACATGAAGGAGTTAAAAGGACAAAAGGTCAGGCCTCGTATGGGACTACATATATTGTAAACACAGTCTTCAGGTATCTTAAAACCATGGCTTTGTTTATAACACCTGTATCTTACCAGTGTTGGTGGAGCCAAAACTGAATCCTGTGGCTGGTGCAGCAGCAGCGGTGGGGGCTGCCCCAAAACCAGGAGCTGTAAGAGCTAAAAGAAAAAAGCAGACACAAGAACGGCAGTGAGTTAAACTGGCAGACAGAGGTTTGGATATAACCAGGGCTGTGTGATAACTACCAATAGTTATCACAAGAAGAGATCATTTTCTCTGTTTTCATATCGATGTTGTTTGATCATAATGATTCCAAATCCACATGTTGCTAAACGACATGCCACGATTACGGAGTGATTTTTTATAGAAAGATGGAAAGGACTAAAAGGGAGTTTAAATTAAATAATGTACTGCATTTCATTTTGAGATACATAAATTGGATGCAATTAAATATTTCCTTATATATTTTAGACTGGCAATGTGTACCTACCTATGTAAGGTGAACTTATAAATAACCCATGTTTATTTTACATTTTGATATGCTTGTTATTTGCATTGGTTACTGTTTTTATTATATGTTATAATTTGTTTTCAATTATTATTTACTTTCATGTTTGAAGAATACAACTTTATATATTGTAACCCTTTGTAAAGGAAGCTGTTTCACTATATCAAATTACTTTTGGAAATAAAAGACAACTAATTAAAGAATATATTAAAAAGATAACAGTAATAATGTAATACTAATAACATCATTAAATCCAATACAAACTATGTTTATAATTGAGTTCTTAGTGGATATTTGTGTAATGCTGGAGTACATTATGTTGAGGTAATTCTACTATTCTGCCCCTCAGATGTAAATGCCATAGACAAAATATTAGTAATAAATATAAGTCTATCACCACTGCAAACTAATAGCTCAATCATAACAATGTTTTTAAAGTGATACCTCTCCTACAGTGTCAAAGTAAACTGAACATTATTATGCATGTAGAGGCAGCATTGTTGTATTGAATACGCATTAAATGTAGCCTACCTAATGAAGTGGCAGGTGGGTATATAAGTTGCTGTTCCTGCAAATCTGGATGAGACAGACCTAGTCGATCTCTTCAATACAACTGCCCAACAACACAGCCGAGTAGCTTTGATTATTGGGGCTCAGATGAGGAGATGTACCCTCTTTAGTGACCATCGGATCTATGGACTTACTGCCAAATCCGAATGAGGCGGCGGCGGCGGCTGCTGAGCCAAAGCCAAATGTTGCAGTTGGTGCTGTAGTTTTGGCACCAAATGAAAACCCGGACGTGCCTTCACATGAATATAGAGAGTGCTATGAGTGTTGAGTGTCGTGACAGTTACATTAGCGTACAGCTACAACGGATTTCAATAGCTAGCAGAGGTGGGAGAAGTGATCAGATATTGTACTTAAGTAAAAGTAGAAATACTAGAGTGTAGGAATACTCTGTTACAAGTAAAAGTCCAGGGTTTCAGTCGAATAGTCCATTTAGCTTAGGAACCTTCCTAACGGAGTGAAATGACCCGGAAGTCCCTCAGTGGCAGCCATGATAAGTGCCGTTCGAATTCTCTAGATAGATGATAGGAAAGGAGGTTTCAAACTTCCTTTACAACCTCCTTTAGCTTAGGAACCACTGGAATGTAAATGTGGCAAGCAGCAAATTACCTCGGTTTTAACAGAGATGCTCACAGGGGGTGGAGGCGGCTCCTCGATGGTGCTTTCACTTTCCCACTCTGATCTTGAGCTACACTCTGAGTCGCTGGAGCTGGCCGGCTCTACCCCTCGGGAATGTGCTGCTTCAAGTGAACTACGGCACCCACACACAGAACACAACAATAATAATATCACATTTGCAGCTTCTCAAATCTGGGACTTTTCTTTGTCATTTACAACAGTAATATTCTGGTGGTTTTGTCCATTTATTAAATAAAACAAGCCATTTGAATAACTTACCTTTAGGGAATTACAAGAGCAATATTCATTATTTCCTATAAAATGTATATAAATAGACTTACTGGCTACTTTATTATTAGGTACACCTGTTCAACTGCTCGTTAACGCAAATACCTAATCAGCCAATCACATGGCAGCAACTCAATGCATTTAGACATGTAGACATAATAATAATAAATTACATTTATATAGCGCTTTTCCTGGTGCTCAAAGCGCTTATGCTCAAGACGACCTGGTGAAGTTCAAACACAGCATCAGGATAGGGAAGAAAGGTGATTTAAGTGACTTTGAACGTGGCATGGTTGTTGGTGCCAGACAGCCCTGGTCTAAGTGTCTCAAACTGCTGACCTACTGGGATCTCACACACAACCATCTCTAGGGTTTACAGAGAATGGTCGTAAAAGATACAAATATCCAGTGAGCGGCAGCCAGAGGTCAGAGGAGAATGGCCAGAACGGTTCAAGATGATAGAAAGGCAACAGTAACTCAAACCACTAGTTACAACCAAGGTATGCAAAATACCCTCTCTGAACGCACAACACGTGGAATCTTGAAGCAGATGGGCTACAGCAGCAGAAGACCCCACCGGGGGCCACTCCTGTCAGCTAGGAACAGGAAACTGAGGCTACAATTTGCACGGGCTCACCAACATTGGAAAAATGTTGCCTGGTCTGATGAGACTCGATTTCTGCTGCGACATTTGGACGGTAGGGTCAGAAGCATGGATCTATCAGGTTCAGACTGGTGGTGGTGGTGGTGTAATGGTATGGGGGGTATTTTCTTGGCATACTTTAGGCCCCTTAGTACCAATTGAGCATGGTTTAAACGCCACAGCCCGAGTATAGAGGCTGACCATGTCCAACCCTTTATGACCACACTGTTCGCATCTTCTGATGGCTACTTCCAGCAGGATAACACGCCTTGTCACAAAGCTCAAATGATCTCCAACTGGTTTCTTGAACATGACAACGAGTTACTGAACTCAAATGGCCTCAACAGTCACCAGATCTCAATCCAATAGAGCATCTTTGGGATGTTGTGGAACGAGAGTTTTGCATCACGGATGTGCAGCAGACAAATCTGCCGCAACTGCGTGATGCCAACATGTCAATATGGAACAAAGTCTCTGAGGAATGTTTCCAGCACCTTGTTGAGTCTATGCCACGAAGAATTAAGGCAGTTCTGAAGTCAAAAATTGATCCAACCCGGCACTAACAGGGTGTACCTAATAAAGTGGCCGGTGAGTGTAGATACAACATTTGATTATTGATAAAATATTTAAATTGATGATTGATGCAGATGCAGATGCAGATGATTAGGAAATAATGATTAGTTGCTCCATTAATGAAAAAACTTGTAAGTTGTCTAAATGGCTGAATTAACAAACTGCCAAAAGCCTAATTGTCACTTACGATGATGAGCTCTGCTGGATGAGCTGGGATGGATTTGCTGGAGGGGACTTGTAGTTTTCTGGAAGAAAATAGGGGAATTACATGTCATGAAAAACCTTGAAATGTTTATAGTATTCAATTCACACAAATTATTAAAACAGACTCTTTATCTAAAGGCTGTATGTACAGCAGATGTTTCCAATCACTGTATTTTACCCTCGTCCTTTACAGACAAAACACTAACCCTGGTCTGCATGCTTGTTTGGGATGTTCTATGATATAGTACCAACATGTATATTAATGAACATGTGTATCCTGGTTTTGTGCCTTGATTTTTGATTGCCATTCACTTAATGGCTCAATTTGTACAGGACATGAAGAGAGACTCGCTGCTTCCTGTGAAGACAATGAAACAAACGCACGCAAGCTTTTACATGGGTCACACATTGGCTTTATTTAAGTTTGCACATGGTTATCTTCATGTACACTTAATTAATAAATGGTGTGATAATCGTTACTGTATATGCAAACAGATCTTTAATTACCAGGACTTAAGGCCTTAAAACATGCTTTTTCTTTTCAATTATCCTCAACTTTTAAAGTCTTACCTTGGCTGGGAACGGAGACTTGGAGGGTTCTACTGAGCTCGGTGAGTGTATGGCTGTCAGGAGAGGAGGCCATGAGTGGGTCATTTCCTGTATGGTGGGATAAAAAGAATGTTATATGCAGGGGTGCACATAACTTTTTTTCCCTGGTTCTCAAAGGAGCACCTGGAGATGTTGCTTGGTGCTCATCCTTAAAATGAAATAAACCGTAACTTTTGAGGGGGTCTTGACTTTATTTGTCAGACACACGGCACTGAATACACATGCAGAGGTGAACACTGAACACACAGAGGTGCACACAGAACACACATGCAGAGGTGAACACAAGATATGAGGGGCCGTGTAGGCCAAAATTCAAACTCACCTCACACACACACTACTGAAAACATCTGGCCTTGCACACACACTACTGAAATACTCTCACATTCACTACTGAACACCTCACACACACACTACTGAACACATCTGGCCTTGCACACACACTACTGAAATACTCTCACATTCACTACTGAACACCTCACACACACACTACTGAAAATTAAGCCTCACACACACACTATTGAAATCCTCTCACATTCACTACTATGAATTCACCTATGTGTGTGTGAGGGGATTCTTGCTGTAACGGAAGTCATTCTTGCTGTAACGGAAGTCATTCTAATGTAACGGAAGTCATTCTAATGTAACGGAAGTCATCTGCTAGTGGTCTCTTTGCTAGCCCCGTTAGCTTCATTAGCTCCAGGCTGCTACTCGGACGTGTTTGTTGTGTTGATGCCTGGTGGAGTATTCTTCATTGAAATATCGCACTTATCTTATGGCTCTGCGGTTCAAACAGACCGTCCATGAATGCAGTTTATTCGGTAAGTGAAATTCAAGCACTTTATTTCTTACTTGTCTTTTTATTCAGCTAACAAGCGAGACGAAGCTACATCTGTGCTAACGATGCTATCCGTAGCATACAAGTTAAAACATAATAGAGAAGTGTAAAACATTAAGAAGGATTATACTGTAAAACATAAGGCTTCTCGGTGAGGTTGGTAAAATAAGGTCATGCTTGTACATTAGTTAGTTTGCTAGTTAGGTAACTGTATGCATTGTTATTGTTAATTTAAAATAGGTATGCTCGACGATGCAGACAGCTAGCGTCACATTAGTGTTGAAGAGCAGAGTACGGTATGAGATTAACCCATAGATTAACCTCACTATAAGATCTGTGTATCTGAAAAATATGAATCTCACATTTCCAGTTGGTTCCAGAAATAACGTTGACGTAGATATTGCAATATGGTTTGTTGAGCTGGAGTTGATTGTTGAAGCTTACTGGTTAACGTTCATCATATTAAACGAACGAACCCAAACGTTGTTGTTTTTATTAATATTATTACCAATACTTACTTAGCATTTTATTATCATTACACTGGAGAAACCGACTTATTGTGGTTTGTCTTTTACCCTTACGTGTGTGTTACAAATGAATGTGAATATGGCATAGTACAAATATTTAAATTGACTGTCTCATGAAAAACGATTCTAAAATAAAAAGGACCCCAAAGTGAGTCAGCAAAACTTTCAATAATAATCTAAGGTATTGAGTTTTGGGATGTTACTTGCATACAAATCTATAAATGCCTTAAGGTTTCTAAAACATACAATATGTGGTAAATTCAACAGTGGACCCAGCAAAGATTCACATTTTTGCATGATTTTTGTTATTGATTTGTTGCTGTTACTTAATTATACTTTTAATAAATTCAAGTCAAGCTTAGTTACATGTGATGGCAGCTATATGCTCTTACCTGTGTCCCTCCTCCGCAACCAGACTGTATTCAAACTCTTAAGTACCAGTTCTATCTACTTTAAAACAGTTAAAAAGACAAAATCAACTACATTTATTGATATACCAATCTTTATTTTTGGGGCCTCTTCTTCTTTTAAATTAAACTTTCAGACATGAGATATTGAAATACAGTAATAGTTTTGTCTATTTAAAAAATAATGAGCCATTCCTTACAGTTAACTTCATATTTCTTATTGTCTAAAGCATTTATGACACACATTTCCCCCTCATATTCACAGTGTGGATCAATTGAGACAGCGTGCAGAGACTTTGGGAGAAACCTCAGCATGACGGATGTCCTGTCTGTGGGTTTGGCTGGAGAGGACTGAGGTGGAGAGGTCTTTCTCTGGGAGGAGGACCAGGCCTGATGGAGGAGGACCAGGCCTGATGAAGAAACCCCCTAACTGCATCTGTGAGCACATACTGGGCTCAGCTGTCACAAACAAATGATGGTCCTGTTTGACTTTGTGTTCACAATAAAAGTGTAGTTTCTTAGTGAATGTCCTGTATTGGTCTTTAATCTGAAATCAGCTTTTCATTTTCTTCTTGCCCCTCTGAGAAAACGGTGAGGCAGTTGTGTCCTTCAGGTATGTCCTTTCCTAACAGAAATGACAAGAAACATATGACATTATTGCAGAGCAAGTGTGTTATTTATGAAAGGTTTGTTTATTTAGCGGCTGTAGAAATAATGTATTTTTTTAATTTTAATGTGTTTTTTTAATTCATCACTTTGTACTACAAAGATAATCAGATTATGAATGAACAGTCTGCAGTTAATCAACATTAAAATATCTTATTAAATAATATTCAACTGCTCGGTTGTCTCACTGCAAGAACCACTTTTACCACGTCTTTTACAGACAATATGTAGAGACAAATGGTAGCAATTCTCACAATGTAAAATAATAATTGCCTTAAATACATTGAAATGTGAAAGCTGATTATAGTTGTTACTTTATCTATTTAAACCAGAACGTTTCTCGATTCTTTGTACAGTATGAAAGGAGTCTTTGTACCTTTGAGTCCATGCTGAAGTTCACTCATGTTAGGAATAGGTCTGTCTCTCGTGGTCAGCATCCTCTGGTCTGTCTGCATCACCTGGAAACTTTAAACAAACAGATGTATATGTAAAGTAACAATGTGTTGGTCACAGACTTTTTTTTACATGCAAATGTCATGTGATAATCTTTGTTATCCTTAAAAAAAGTGCTGGATATCAAAGCCCACACACACGTAAGGGTAAAAGACAAACATCTTCAACAAATGTAATGCAATGAATAATCTTCATTGTCACAGAAGCACACATAACGTCATATCTAATATTTAAACAAATCATTTCCTTGTCCCTAAAGCATTGACTGAGCTATTTTTCGTCCTCAAATGCAGGCATTAAGTTACATATTCACGTTCTGCTGCCACAATAAATCGGTTTCTCCAGTGTAATGATAATAAAATGCTAAGTAAGTATTGGTAATAATATTAATAAAAACAACAACGTTTGGGTTCGTTCGTTTAATATGATGAACGTTAACCAGTAAGCTTCAATAATCAACTCCAGCTCAACAAACCATATTGCAATATCTACGTCAACGTTATTTCTGGAACCAACTGGAAATGTGAGATTCATATTTTTCAGATACACAGATCTTATAGTGAGGTTAATCTATGGGTTAATCTTCTCATACCGTACTCTGCTCTTCAACACTAATGTGACGCTAGCTGTCTGCATCGTCGAGCATAGCTATTTTAAATTAACAATAACAATGCATAGTTACCTAACTAGCAAACTAACTAATGTACAAGCATGACCTTATTTTACCAACCTCACCGAGAAGCCTTATGTTTTACAGTATAATCCTTCTTAATGTTTTACACTTCTCTATTATGTTTTAACTTGTATGCTACGGATAGCATCGTTAGCACAGATGTAGCTTCGTCTAGCTGAATAAAAAGACAAGTAAGAAATAAAGTGCTTGAATTTCACTTACCGAATAAACTGCATTCATAGACGGTCTGTTTGAACCGCAGAGCCATAAGACAAGTGCGATATTTCAATGAAGAATACTCCACCAGGCATCAACACAACAAACACGTCCGAGTAGCAGCCTGGAGCTAATGAAGCTAACGGGGCTAGCAAAGAGACCACTAGCAGATGACTTCCGTTACATTAGAATGACTTCCGTTACAGCAAGAATCCCCTCACACACATAGGTGAAACACATGCACATTCCCTACTGAGAACCTTTCAGTAACATGTTTTTCAGGAGTGTGTGTGTGTGAGGTTAATTTTCAGTAGTGTGTGTGCGAGGTGTTCAGTAATGAATGTGAGAGGATTTCAATAGTGTGTGTATGACGTTAATTTTCAGTAGCGTGTGTGTGAGTTGTTCAGTAGTGAATGTGAGAGTATTTCAGTAGTAGGCTATGTGTGCAAGGCCAGATGTTTTCAGTAGTGTGTGTGTGAGGTGTTCAGTAGTGAATGTGAGAGTATTTCAGTAGTATGTGTGCAAGGCCAGATGTTTTCAGTAGTGTGTGTGAGAGGATTTCAGTAGTATGTGTGCAAGGCCAGATGTTTTCAGTAGTGTGTGTGAGAGGATTTCAGTAGTATGTGTGCATGGCCAGATGTTTTCAGTAGTGTGTGTGAGAGGATTTCAGTAGTATGTGTGCAAGGCCAGATGTTTTCAGTAGTGTGTGAGAGGATTTCAGTAGTATGTGTGCAAGGCCAGATGTTTTTTGTAGTGTGTGTGTGAGGTGTTCAGTAGTGAATGTGAGAGGATTTCAGTAGTGTGTGTGCAAGGCCAGAGGTTTTCAGTAGTGTGTGCGTGAGGTTAATTTTCAGTTGCGTGTGTGTGAGGTTCATTTTCAGTAATATGTGTGAGGCTTAATTTTCAGTAGTGAATGTGAGAGTATTTCAGTAGTGTGTGTGCAATGCCAGATGTTTTCAGTACTGTGTGTGTGAGGTGTTCAGTAGTGAATGTGAGAGTATTTCAGTAGTGTGTGTGCAAGGCCAGATGTTTTCAGTAGTGTGTGTGCGAGGTGAGTTTGAATGTTGGCCTACACGGCCCTTCATACAAGACAACATTAGCACGACCAGTAATCCTACAAGCTGTCATCACTACCCTCATGACTGTTCTCCTCACTGTCTTCCTCTCTGTCAGACATGGTAGCTGATGATAGGCCTACTACTTTCTCTCTGGTTGAGTCTGTGATTAGCTGCTTGCATCCACAAGTCAACAGCTGGG